TTTATTTAGCATTAATAAGCATATTTTATTGGACAAAATAGAGTAAAAGTCATGTTATTTGTAATACCTCAAGAGATATAAAAAGACTTGGTTTTAGACCAGCATAGTGGAAATTCTATTTATATCACAATTTGATGATCACTGTGATAAATTTAGTTTATATTATGCAACAATAAATTCTCAATTCAGTCAGGGAGATTTCCAAATATGGAAATCGATTCTAGAGCCTTTTGCCGATCATCTCATATATGATACAAACGAGTTTAGAAAACGCTTCCTTTTGTATTAGGTTACATGTTTCCCTATATGAACCCTAAAAATAAATATTGAAATACATTCTTTTGAATATATACTTTAATAATCCGCTCTCATCCCCAAAGCCTTATATAACAGCATAAAGAATTGTCTAGACTCAAAACTTACTTGAAATTAACGTGAAAATTCAAAATTTTTTTAAATCTATAGATTTTAATCTCTAAAAATGCAAAACACCAGACTTGCCAATGTTTATTTGATGGTCTTTCTATTAAATATCCAGAAAGCCAACTGGCAACATGTAAAGTTGGGATTCAAAAGTATAGGCATGTATCAGGATTAGCAGCAAGGGAACATATAAAATTATTTATTAAATATTTTCCTAAATTATCTTTATTATGTGATTCTTTAGAAAATTGTTCAATTTGTGAAAAACATTACAATCAAATAATTGTTACTGATAATTTTCTTGAGAAATTAAAAAAAGCAGATGATTCTTCTGAAGAAACTTAAATTCATCTTCTGAGGAAGAGCTTCACAAGTTCAGCAATCAAGCTACTTTACCTAATGCTGAGATCACAAGGCTTACAATAGAGTTATCAAAAACACATGAGAAGTTATTGAAAACACAAGATGAATTAAAAAAATCAGAATCACAGAGGTTATATTATGTTGGAAATATCAAGGAAAATGAACATTACAAAATGATAATTAATAATTCAAAGTAAATATTTGCACCAGCTGAATAAGTTTTGTTGAAATATAAATATAGAAATATGAATAGAAATAATTGTTCATGTGATACTGTGCAATATGTGGTGCAATAGTTTCACAAAATATAATATTAAAAATAGAAATGATGTAATGGGTATCCCGTGACTCACATAGTAATTTGGTTTGGTTGGATCAGCAAAGTGGGGACCTCTCTATCAGTCCTTATTTTACTATCTCACAATATAAATTTATTTGAAATTTGAAATTTTAGATTTACAAGTATTTAAATATGAGGTGGGATTACAAAAAAACATGCTGATTTTTTTTTTTACAAAAATTTAAAATTTGATTTGTAAATCATAATCAAATCCTAAGATTAAATAAAATTTGATCAACAAATTTATGAGGGCAGATCAGTTTTTTAATTTCTGAAGATGTCCATGTCCTGTGACTGATATATGTGAAAATTTTTTGTATGTGGAACAAATTTATGTGGCCGATGTGGGTCAGCTCACTATCACATTACCGCTGATTTATTTTTTTTATTTTTTAAAAAAATTTCCCCTTGTTGATCATCTCAAATTAATGACACGCTATTTTTAGTGTCACAACACTATAAACTCACATGACCCAAATGGTTAACAATAACATTTCTTCTGCAATAGTTAAACTCGCTAGGATAACTATTAAAGAAAATGAACAATTATGTAAAATATACTGTATGTTTGCTATTTTTAATTTAACATATGTTTTTTTATTATAATCAGCACAACAAATTATAATTAATAAATTTTTATTGAATGGTAAATAAAGAAAACCTTGGCATTTAATCAATGCCCCAAGTAATAATCATATGAAATCTAGGGTCTTCTGAAGCAATAATTCATAATGTGGGGCATAATAATAATTCGTGATTCAAAACATAATTTGTGACACAAGACATATAGTTTGTGATGCGAAGCATAGTTTGTTAGTTCTTATTATAATAATAAAGGAAGACCCTAATTGTAATCAGCAAGAATTATGTATTTTATCCTATAGTAATAATCATTAAGTATAATTAGTATAATTTGATGAAAAATTTTTATTAGAAGAACATTATTGTTACCTAAATCTATTTAAACATAATGTTCAACTTATTGCATTGCATATTGTCTCATTTCCTCTACCATCTACAATTTTTATTTCCTTCTGCATCTCCTCTACCTTCTGATCATGTACATATACAATATGTAAGAAAATAGTTTTATAATATTTAATGGCACATTCTTCTGACCTCAAACATTCATTTAAAATTTTCTTTGCTACTTCTTTAAAAACACATATATATCACCTATCAACACTTTTAAATATTTGAACAAATACAGCTTCATGATAAACTAGAATAAATTTCATCCCATCCTCTTTGTCCCCTTCTATTTTTTGTAATAGTAATGCTCCAAAAACCAGATATAATTTCATAATGTTGACACAGATTGCATTTATAATTTAAAAATAAAAAATAAAACTATTATATTAAGAAGCTAGAAGTTGTCAGTTATGTTTAAAATACTTAGACTTGAATTTGGTTCATTTTATAAATATGTATGTATATATATATATTTATGTTTAGAGATCAGTTTATTTGACTATTTCTATAGTATTTTTGTCCTACTGTATATAGTGGTGGACTTTTTTATATTATGAAATTTACCCCGGGACAATTTGGTAGACAATGTAAAGAGCATATAGAAAAAATAAAAAAAGTATTGTTAAGGCAGCCCATGCAGACAATTTCTGAAAGGTTACACCTTTATCCCTCAGTTCATAGGGATAAAGCCTCAGCCTGGGAAATCATATAAGAGGGATATCCCCCCTTATCAATCTTATCGATCTTTGGGTATCGGTCGGATAATTCACTCAAGATCTATGG